CAATTTCCGTTTATGAGAATAATACATGATCCAAAAAAAATATTTTGTGGCTTCGAGGTTTCTTCAAAAATTTACCTCATAAAATTTAAATTTTGTAATTTTACACAAAAAAGTTGTGGTTTATTTGACCTTCATCATCAAGACATCCCTTCGAAATAGATGGTCAGATCGCCTTCCCCATGAAAGCAAACAAAACAAAAATAAAGCTTTCTTTAAAATATTCTCAAAAAAGTATGGCTATGGTTCTAAGAGGTCCGCTAAAACATCTACTTATTCCTCCAATGCCCTAAATTATATATTATAGAATTCCTTATGGATTAGGGCCCTACAAAATATAGTCGGACCATGTAACAGCCTACACAACTACAACCAGAATCAAACTTTCTGCGGTTATATTTTCTGAGCCTGGGCAATATTTCGCGATATTTGCACCCTCTTGGCCAATTATAGGTGAACAGCTCCACATTCTAACCCTGGCATATTTTCCAAATTGTTTTCGCGAGGTCAATATAAATATAAATTTGGTCACTTTAGATTTTAGTTCATTGCAGAATATTGACCGATCCCCTTCACCCTGTAAAATATGTGGTGTTCCATAGAGCGACTAGAAAATCTCGCAAAAATAAAAATAAATATCATATCAACATCACCGAAAATTATAGGCATCATCCCTCCTCTTGGATGTACTATCAACTTCTCGGGTCTATGTCCTTCAGGAGCAAATATATTTGCCATAGAATACATTTTCCCCATTATTCACTCAAATGTCTGGGTTCATTTACCCCCGCTAAATATTGACCGATCTTCATCAAAATACTCATGCTTATTCATTGGCCAGACTCTCTTCCTGGTTCAAAATTAGGGGTCTTCTTTGGCCAGAACCCATCATACATTCAAAATTTCACGACTATTGGTCTGTATGGTATTTAAAAAAATTGAAATGGACATACGGCCGACGGACGGAAGGACACAAGTGTCTAGATCGACTCAGCTAGTCGAGATATGACGATCGGGTCTAGGACCAATATTTCGGGGTGTTATTGGGGCTGCACTATAGAATACCCCCTTTTTGGAACTATAAAAGACTCTCAGCGGGTATTTTATAGTCAGATGTCTTTCAAAAGGTCCTAAAGCGTCTTTAATAGTCAAAAAACCTACAGGAGGTCTTACAAGGTCAGATATTCTGACATTTTTTAATGAAAGCTTTGAAAAGTCGGTCATACTCAAAGAATAAAGAATATCAGGTCCATGTAACCGGTTTTTAGAAGAATATTTTTAACAGACAATCACACCCATACACGCCTTTAGTACGGAAAGCATGTGTGATACATAGGCATGGTTTTTAGAAGACCTAAGGGTTTGTTTTTTTTTTAATTTCTAATCTCCCTTTAATTGCGGAAATATAAAAAAACTCCCTCTAAATGACCAGTATTAAAAAATAACATTCGATATGTTTTGTTATCTCTACTTATTTAAGTTCAACAAAAGCAAAAAATCCGAAATTATTCTTGTCATTGCTTCACCATCGTGTATATATCCATTGTGGACTTTGACTGCACAACACTCATATCTTCTGACATTCAGTCAATATTTTTTTGTCGTTGTTTTACTAAATTTCACTTAATTATGAAAATAACAGCAGTGGTAATTATCGCTTTGACGTGTTGTTTTTTTTACGATTCATACACGAAAATAATGCCCCGTCGTCATAATTGTGACAGGTGAATAAAGTTCAAATGAGAAAATAATAAAAAAAAATTAAGTACTTGGTTACTCCGGAGGAATTTCCAAGTTTTTTTAATCATTTTAGAAAATTATCTAAAGAAGGGATACCAAAGTCTCAATTTCGAAAAAATATAATAATATAAAGTCTAAAATTTGCCCCTTTTAAAAAAATCAGAATTATATGCACTTAAACCTAACCTAGAAAAATAATTACAGTGCTTGTGAGTGTCTCTAAATTTTCCGCCCCTTATAAAATTCCGTTTTGAAATAATTATTAACACATGTCTAATTATGACATATCATTGACATTGCATTGATTGACATTCTAAACTGATTTCGTTCCATTAAAAAAATAATTAACGCTTTTAACTTTTTTTATTTATTTATTAGGCATGCACATGAAATAAATTTAATTTCTAAAACTTGTTCCCAAGTGACAGTTCGAAAATAAATCTACGAACTTATTCTCAGAACTGCACGTTTGAATTAAAAAAATCTGACTTTTAGAACTAAAAACCAGTAAGGAAAGTAGTGGGCCGACTATATGATACCCTTCGCCACTTTGGGTATATTCTACATATGTATCCTAACATATGTAGAATATATCTGAACCGATTTCAGGGAAACTTGCCAGAGACTAATTTATATTACATCAGTACGTTGTGTCAATCGGCCTAAATATGGACCTTTTCACGAAGCTTAGCAACATCATTCTAGACTTAATTCAGTACCCTATACCAAAATTCGTGCAAATCAAAAGATATATAGGGACTTTGGAGCACCAATTACATAAAATCGGACGAAAATATATATGGGAGCTATATCTATATCTGAACCAATTTTCACGAAACTTAGCACACGTAACTTAACTTAACACATGTAATTACGCTGTGCCAAATTTCGTGCAGATCGAAAGATATTTAGGGACTTTGGCGCACCATTTACCTTAAATCGGACGAAAATATATATGGGAGCTATATCTAAATCTGGACCCATTTCCAGGAAACTTAACACACATCATTGTAGACATAATTCATTACGCTATGTCAAATTTCGTGCAAATCAAACGATATATAGGAACATTGGTATACCATTTACATTAAATCGGACGAAAATATATATGGGAGCTATATCTAAATCTGGACCGATTTTTCCCAATTTCAATAGGGTTCGTCTTTGGGCCAAATAAGTGACCTATGCCAAATTTCATCAAATTCGGATCATAAATGCGACCGGTACTTTGTTTACAATTTAACATGGACAGTCAAACGGACGGACGGACATACATAAGTCGACTTAAATCGACCTCTGTCAATCAATGCAATATCAAAATTTATTCCGAAGCTATTAAAGTTATTATAATTCGAAATTTTATTAGAATGATTTTTACCAAGACTACCAGAGCTATAAACGGATATTTTTAAAGTCCACGTCTTTAGGTTTGAATGTGCCCGAAAAAATAAACGCCTTTCGCTTTGAAATTATTTCCTTAAACTCCATGGAAAATCCACTTTTTTACCCCGAAAGTACCGCCAAAATATAAGACCTCCTAACGGCCTTATGTTTATCGAGGAATCACTGAATGTATTTTTGCTATAGAAGACATACTGGGGTTATTTTAAATATAGAAATCGTACTGACGTCCTTCTGATTATGGAAGACCCTTCTGAACATTTAGGAAGTCTTCTGACAATAGCTCTTCCAAACATCATACGACTATAGAAGATCTACTGAATACTGTTTGATTATAGGATAACTACAGAACGTCGTCTAATCGTAGAAGCATTCCTGACCATAGAAGTTAATTCGTCGAACCATTTTTATACCCTCCGCCATGATTATACAAGACCTTCTGAAGGTTTTCTTGCTATAGATGGCATCCTAGGAATATTCTAATTATAAATGCCCTAATCCAGGAGGTCATAGGACTATAAAACATCTTTTGAATATAGAAATCCTCCAGAGTATGTATTGGCTATAGAATACTTCCTGGACGTATTCTGAATATAGAAGCTCGCCTTGTTACAGAAGAAAATACGTCTTTAAGTTCGTGGACCGATCCTCCTTTATATGAGGGTTATGTCAAAACATGGACTAATTTTGAAAAAAATATTATACTTAAAAAATCCGTACCTGGAGCTCTGTTGGTCCCTGAAAAATATTCTTGAAAATTCACGCCAAAAGCTTTTCTTGTCCATGAAAAAATATTCTTAAAAACTTACGAATATTCCTCTGAATGTTCTTGAAAAATTATTCCTTAAAAGTTCACACCTGGAGCTCTGAAGGCCATTGAAAAAATATTCTTATAAAACCCACACATGGAGTTCTGAAAATCTTTGAAAAAATATTCCTAAAAAATCCAAACATGGGGCACTGAAAAATTATTATTAAAAAACCAAGTCCTTGAAAAAATATTCTTAAAAAATTTCCTGCAAAGATTTTTTCACCCTCCGAAAATTCGGATTGCCAAATTACATAAACTTTTGTGAGAAAATGCCACAAAGAACTTAAAAATAGTGAAAATAGGGAGGAACCATACTAGATGGGAACTATGTCAAAACATGGACCTATAAAGAACCTTTTCTGAAAAGTGTTTTACTCCCTCAACTGGATTGATTTGGGTTTAAAAATCCGTCTAAAATTTTCCAAATACCGAAAATGGGGTGGAGCTTTTATATGTGAGCTATACCAAAACATATATATTTATATATATATATATATATATTTATAAAGTCCAAGCGTAAGGCTCTTATAATTACTTACTTAGTTGGCTTGTTACAGAACGGTTGTTCCATAAGCCGAGCTTAAAAAAGATTTCCAAGCGTGTCGGTCTTGTGCGCAAGTCCACCAATTTGGAAGACCACGTTCCAAGATGTTGTTGTCATCTATAGCTCTGATAATCCTTGGCCAAATATTCATTATGGCTCCGATAATACTTGGCAGAATCTTCTTTAAAAAATCAATATTCTTAATTCTTAATAAAAACTTTTTTTAAATGCACGCCTATGGTTTTGATAATCCTTGACCAAATATTCATTATTCTACGCCTCAGATACTTCTTGAAAAAATATCCTTTAAAATGCCTATAGCTCTGACAAACATTGAATAATTGCTCTTATAAAATCCAGCCAAATTACTTAAAATGTATTCTTTAAAAAATCCCCTCTCTCTTCTCTAATCCTTCTGCATGGTTGTCAACTTATCCGTTCATTTTCTTTATTCTTCTCCTCTTTTACTAAATTTGTTATTAACTATTTTTTTTCATTATTTTCCAGAGCCAACAACATCGAGGGTAGCGTAACAATGAATGGCCATGAACGTAACATTAGTGCCTTCCGTAAATTGTCTGCCTATATTATGCAGGACAATCAGCTGCACGGCAATTTGACCGTCCAAGAAGCCATGACTGTTGCCACAAATTTGAAGCTGAGCAAAAAATTCACCAAAGCCGAAAAACAATCTATGGTAAGTAAAACAAATTGTTTCCGAACATTCAAGAAGTTCCTCAAACATTTTAAATATTAGCACAAAACCACGATTTTGTTTCTTGGCAGATCTTAAAAAAATATATGTTGTCTTCCTTTTCACATTTTCGTAAAATTTTGGCACGTTCCGCTTTACTTTGGTTTAACACAAAACAATAAAAATAAGTGTTGTGTTTTCGTACAACAACAACAAATTCGTTAAATTTTTATGACAAATGTACGGAAATATTTATTATAGTCCATTTCATAATTGTAGCATGTTATGTGCTTTTTAAGTAATTTCGTTGTTTTAGGTACGCGCTCGTAGTCGCATTAACATTAAGATGAATTATCTGCACGAAAGATTTTGAAAATTTTAGTTATGGTTTAACATGTTTATTTTTCAGCATATCTCTGTCTTTTTCATGACTCATTTTGGAGAAGTTGCTGAGATGTAAAGTCTCTACTAGATAATATGCCTATAGAAACCTCTCGATTTTGTCTTTCTAGAAGATCTTCTGATTGTAAAGAATCTTCTGAAGGTTCTGATTTAAGAGAACCTGACGAAGGTCTTCCGAGTTTATAGTATATTCAGAAGGCTTTCTCATTTTAGAGAATCTCCAGAAGGTCTTCTGATTGTAGAGTATTTCCGAAAGGTTTTCTGATCTTAAAAACCCTCTCGAAGTTCTCTCTTGACGCTTTAAAAATCTAAGGCAATATCAAATACCTTCAAGAGATGGTCATCATCTTAAAGCCTTCTCCTGAGAGTTCCAAAGATCTTCTGATTTTTGACAATCACTTGAAGGTCTTCTAATTTTAGAGAACCTCACAAAAGTCTTCCGATTTTAGAGAACATCCCGATTTTTTCTGATTCTTAGAAAACCCAAAGCCTTAAAAATCCACGTTTTTGGTTCGGAAGGTCCTTAAAAAAAATCCGCGACTTTTGTTCTGATGACCCCTGAAAAAATCCAGGCTTTCAGTTCTGAAGATCCCTGAAAAATATCTTAGAAAAATCCTGGAGATTTGAAAGTCCTTAAAATATTTTTAGAAAAATCTTCGCCTGGAGATCTTAGAAAAATTCTCGCCTGAAGATCTGAAAGTTCTTAGAAAATATTTCTTTAAAAATCCCTGCCTGGAGCTTTGAAAGTACTCACGCCTATGGTTGTCCCTGCTAAATTATTCTTAAAATCCACGACAGGAACTCTACAAGTCTTTGACAAAAATCTTCTTTAAAATATCCAATCCTTATGCTCTGTATGTCTTTGAAAAATATTCTTACAAACCCCACGCCTGGTGCTCTGAAAGTCCTTAAAAAATATTCCTAAAAAATCCACGCCTTCCTAAAAATTCAAACATGCAGCTCTAAAATTTTTGAAAAAATCTTCTTTAGAAAATCCACCTCTGATATTCTGATTGTCCTTGAAAAAATATTCTTCAGAAATCCACGTTTTTGGCTCTAATGGTCTTTGAAAAATATGCTAGTGACAAATGCTGACGGTCTTCTGAATGCAGAAGAATCTCTTTTGGAGCTCACCTCAAGGTCTTCCGGCTTCAGGATCTCCAGAGAAGGCATCCGGAGGGTATTTTAACTATATATGCCCTCTTTCTGTCGTTCTGGTTATGAAATACCCTTGAGGATCTCTTGTAGGTCTTCTGATTATAGGAGGGAGAGTTTTTGACTGCCTTCTGACTATAGGAGCTCTTCTGAAAGTCTCTTGACTTTAGAAGACCTTCTGAGGGTATTTTAATTATTTGTGTCTTCTTGACGACGCTTGGGTCTTTTAATTAATCATGTCCTTCTGATGTATTTCTGATTATGAAAGGGCCTTATGAAGGATTATAGAAGATCTCCTGTGTGCCTCCTGACTATAGACGCTTTTCTGAACGTCTTTTGACTATAGGTCGTCTTTTGACCTGGTCGTATTTTGACCTGGTCGTATTTTGACTGTAGAATTTATACTGAGGGTAATCTTACTATAGAAAGCTTCCTGAGAATCTTTTCAATTATTGATGACCTCTCGACGACGTTTTGATTATGAAAGGCCCTTCTGGACTCGTTGATGATCTTCTGCAGACTGCCTGAACTAGTCTTCTGACTACGACCTCCTGAAGATCTGAATACGAGAGACTCCCGTGAGGGTCCTCTAACTGCACAAAACCATCTGAAAGCCTTCTAACCATAGAATACCTTTGGATGTTTTATTAAAATATAAGACTTCCCGATGGTCTTTATACTACAAAATCCTTTATAATTATATACCAATTTGAAATCTTTAGAAGCTCATTTAATTTTCCTAAAATTTTTCCCACTAATTCCCCCTCAAATTCTTCTTTCTTCCCATTTCAGATCGATGATATTCTTTTGACACTGAGTTTAAGTGAACATCGTAATACATTGACACGCAATCTGTCCGGCGGTCAAAAGAAACGTCTTTCAATTGCCTTAGAATTGGTCAACAATCCCCCAATCATGTTCTTCGATGAACCCACATCGGGTTTGGACAGTTCCACCTGTTTCCAATGTATCAATTTACTGAAAATGTTGGCGGAAGGTGGTCGTACTATTATTTGTACCATTCATCAACCTTCGGCTCGTCTATTTGAAATGTTCGATCAATTGTATACGTTGTCCGATGGTCAGTGTGTCTACCAGGGTAGCACCAAACAGCTTGTGCCTTTCTTGTCCACATTGAATTTGGAATGTCCCAGTTATCATAACCCGGCCAGTTACATTATTGAAGTGGCTTGCGGTGAACATGGTGATCATACACGTCGTCTGGTCGATGCCATCGGTAATGGTAGTAAAGATATTCGTTCTGCTGCCGATTATGCTGAACTGAAGGCCCGCAACGATTTGATGAAAGTGCAGAATTTGAAAGCCATCTTGGATAAAAATGATGCTGCCAATTCGACGGGTGGTAAATTTGAGGATAATTTGAAACTGAACAATGGTATTTTGAAATCGAATTTAGTCAATGATATTGCCAAAGAATCGGCAACAGCTGGTCCTGTTGTCAGCACCAATGAAAAAGGTGATGCCATGATTGAATTGGAAAAGACAGATAATTGTACCACGGCATTGTTGTCATCGGAAATTACATCGCCCGAGAGATATCCCACTTCACAATTTCATCAATTCTGGATTGTTTTGAAACGTACCTTGCTTTTCAGTTTCCGCGATTGGGTAAGTTGGAGGGGTTTGTTTTATTTTATTTACTGTGGAATGTTGTTAATTATGTTTTTGTTTTCCAGACCCTTATGTACTTGCGTTTGTTTGCCCATTTATTGGTTGGTTTCCTAATCGGTGCCTTGTACTATGATATCGGTAATGATGGTGCCAAGGTTTTGAGTAATTTGGGTTTCCTCTTCTTCAATATGTTGTTCTTGATGTACACTTCGATGACAATTACTATTTTATCATGTAAGTATACGAAGTTTAAATGTAATTTAATTGTAAATAAGGCATTTTATCAATAAAAGACCTCATGGCGGCATACTGTATATAGAATGCCCTGCTGAAGATCTTCCGGCTTGAAAGACGTTTCAGCACATCCTGAAAGTATTTTGACTATAAAATACATCTTGGCGGCCTTCTTACTATAGAAAACATCCTGAGTATATTTTATCTATGAAGACCTCCTTAATTTCGCAGTACTTTTATATGACATCCTTAAGATCTTCTGATTATAGAAGAGTCTCTGACGGCCTTCTTACATTAAAAAAATCGTGACCATAAACTGGCATCAATGTAGTCCAATTGCCAGGAAGTATCATTTTAATTGAAAATGTTTTCAGAACCATTAAAACACCTAATGTGAAGTGGTTCCCCATGTCAGAATATTGACTTAGAGCCAGTTTCTGTACAATTCACGCTGTTATTGGATTTTTATTTTATTTTGCAAATTGATGTTTAACCATCCGAGTACCTAAAATGTCGAATTGCGTCTAGGTCATTTACCCTTCAAAGGTGAAATAAAATCCACAAAGAAAAAGATATAAAAACCCTAAAATGTGTCGAAAGCTGCATGTACTCATGTTAAAAATTTTCAGATAATATGAGGTTCTCTGATAACCCGATATATCATAAATTTCAGGAGCTTATGTTAGGTAATGTGTCTAAGACTTTAAAAAACTGAAATGAGGCGAGATATAGAAGTCCTCATGAATGTCTTCTGACTATGAAAGATGCTCCGGGTCCTCCTGAAAGCCTTCTGCCTATATGAGACGTTCTTAGGGTCTTCTAACTATGCAAGACATCCAGAGGGTATTTTAACTACACAAGTCCTCCTAACACCTTTTGCATATAAAAGATTCCCTGAACGTCTTCTGACTATTAGCAGTGCTTCAGATCCTTTCTGAGAATCTTCTTACTGTCGAACACACCCTGAGGGTTTTTGAACTATGTATGTCCTCCTGATGACTTTCTGGTTATAAAAGTCTCTCAGGACGCTTTGGAGGTCCGCTGATTATAGAAGAGCTTCTGACGGCCTTTTGACTATAGAAGCTCTTCTGAACGTCTATAGAGTACATCCTGAGGGTCTTTTAATTATTTATGTTCTCCTGAGAAAAAATCTTAAAAAATCCACGCCTAGGGTTCTGATGTTACAAAATATTCTTAAAAAATCCACGCTTTGGGTTCTGACGGTCCTTAAGAAATAATCTATAAAAATGGACGCCTCGGGTTCCAATGATTCTGATGGTCCTTGACAAAATATTCTATAAAAATCTAAGCCTCGGGTTCTAATTACTCTGATGTTCCTTGGTAATAATATTCTTTAAAATCCACGTCTTGGGATCTGATCGATCTTGGTAAAAATATTCTATAAAAATCCAAATCTTGGCTTCTGACGGCCCTTTAAAAAACATTCTTTAAAAATCCACGTCTTGGGATCTGATCGTTCTTGGTAAAAATATTCTTTAAAAATGCACGCCTTGGGTTCTGATGGTCCTTGGTAAAAATTCACACCTTGATTTCTGATGTCCTTGGTAAAATTTTCTTCAAAATTCACGCCTTGGGTTTCAAAAAAAGGCATGACTTTAAATCTGATAGAAAAAATCTTCGTAAAAACTACAATCCACAGGTTCGGATGATCCTTACAAAATATCTCAAAAATCCACGCCTTTGGTTCAGATTGTTTAAAAAAAATCCAATCCTTTGACGGCCCTTGAACAAATATTCGTAGAAATATGATCTGATGGTTCTTGGAAAATCCAAGACTATGGGTCTGATGATCCTTATAAAAATATTTTGAACGTCTTCTGAACATGGAGGACCCTTTAAACCTCCTTGAAGTGTTCGGCCATAGAATAGCCACAAGGACGTCTTGCTATGGGAGATATTATGAATATGTTCTGACTGAATGGCATATAAAAGTCTTCTGACTAAGAGCCTTCAGAATTTCCTGTTGATATTATAATCATAGAAGAACCAAGGAGTGGTTATAGAAGTCATCCTAATCGTCTTCTGACTCTAGAGACACCCTTCAGTCCTCATGAAGGTATTTTATCTATTAAAGACCCTTCAGAACCTCTGAGAAGGACCTTTAATTAAATATTTTCTACAAATTATTTATTTGCGACTTTATTGCCTCAAGGGCCGTCTGGATAAAAGTTTAATCAAATTCTTTTGTCGTACTTCGAACACAGAAGTGACAGAGGGACGTTTGATCATAAACATCTTATGAGCAGAAAAAAATATCCGAAAAGGCCTTCTGACTATGAGTGAAGGTATTTTATCTATTAAAGACCCTTCAGAACATCTGAGAAGGACCTTTAATGAATTATTTTCTACAAATTAATCAAATTAATGCGACTTTATTGCCCCAAGGGCCGTCTGGATAACGACTTCTGACTATAAAGGTTTAATCAAATTCTTTTGGACGTACTTCGAACACAGAAGTGACAGAGGGACGTCTGATCATAAACATCTTCTGAGTATAAAAAGCATCCGAAAAGGCCTTCTGACTATGAGAGGCCCTTATGGATATCCTAAAGTTTATCTGAGTATATAAAAAACCTCCTAAAAGTATTTTATGTGTATAAGTGTATTCAGGACGTCATATGAGGGTAATCTCTCTCATACTTCCTCACGACTTTAAGGTGTTTCTTAATACAAAGGAATTCTCTCTCGGTGATCAAGTTGGGGGGGGGGGGGGGTCATTGTTAAGCCGATAAGCCTTACTATCCAATACTTCTTTGGGTTTGATAATTTACATCCTGGAGGCAACAGCGAGGAGTTGTCTTTGGAACATCTACCAGTGACTCCTTTCATATCAGTTGCAGTCAGTCTCATAGGCATTGAGTTTCGGCTAAAGTCGACACACAGTCAGTAGTTTTCACCTTGAAGGAGCCCATATCATCAGCGAACATACTCGTCTGTCATATCGACTAAAGGCTAAAGAGCTGATGACATTCTTCTCTTCTGGAGGGCTCTCATGACTTAGGTGGGAACTGACACAATAAAATGTTACACGGAGAAGGAAATGCGGCCAAAGAATGAACATAGCTGTTCTAAGGATGATCGGGTCGAATATTATGTGTGAAAAACTCTCAGACCATAAGATCATTCGGACTAAGTAATTTCCTCCGACACCCTTCTATTAGACCCGCTGACTGTTGCAGTTACCCAATAAATAAATTGGACTTTCCACTATCCACAAATAGTGCACATGTCCAATAGCATTTCGGTATGCCCTCGCTCAAGAGTATAGACTTAATAGCGCTTCGACAGTCTTATTATGATTAAATTCGCGAGCGGATATGCAGGACTATTCTCACATGTTTGAATTTTTAGTTGAATTCCAAACTTATAGGTCTTGAAACGGAGACTGAAATACAACACTTATTCCAACGATGTAAAAGTCAAGCTGTGGTCTACAAACATAGTCTTAACATTTATTATCTCAAACTCTAGCCCAAGTATCTTTAAAAATATTATTCACAATAACATTACTCTGCATGTTCTCTCATTTCAGTCCCTCTCGAAATGCCTGTATTGCTAAAGGAAAACTTTAATCGATGGTATTCGTTGAAATCGTACTATTTGGCTATATCCGTGGCGGATATACCATTCCAGGTAAGTTGAAAATGCCTTATTTAAAATTTGAAATTTTTTTAAAATATTAAAACCCTGTTTCCCCCCACAGGCTATTTTCTGTACCATCTATGTGGCAATTGTCTATTATTTCACCTCACAGCCGTGGGAGTTGTTCCGTTTTGCAATGTTCTTGGGCGCATGTCTGATGATCTCATTTGTTGCACAGTCCGTGGGTTTGGTTGTTGGTGCTGCTATGAATGTACAAAACGGTGTATTCTTGGCCCCTGTAATGTCGGTGCCATTCTTGCTCTTCTCCGGCTTCTTTGTATCGTTTGATGCCATCCCCGTGTACTTGAGATGGATCACCTATTTGTCATACATCCGTTATGGTTTCGAAGGTACTGCCTTGGCTACCTATGGTTTTGGTCGCGAGAAATTGAAGTGCCATCAGACCTATTGTCATTTCAAATCACCCATGACCACTTTGGAGGAATTGGATATGGTTAATGCCAGCTACACGTTGGATATTGTTGCTTTGGTCGTGATCTTTGTGGTGCTGAGACTTTCGGCATATCTCTTCTTGAAATGGAAGTTGAAGACAGCACGCTAAGATGGATGCGGATCGGAAAATTGGATGTATGCGATTTTAGAAGAATTTAAATTTTACATTTTTTACATCAACAAAACAAAAAAGTAGTGGAAAAGAAAGGGGATTATTGTATTTTCTTTTTTTATGTAAAATGAAGATAAAAAAGTTTTACTTTACTTGTTACAACTAGTATGTAAGATATCCAAGAAAACAAAAACAAATTCTTTGTCTTTTCAAAAGCCAAAACGTGATTAAACGTGATTTATATACTTTTTTTTAAATTATTAAAAGAACAAATTTTTATTTGAAAACAAAACACACAAACACAAAAGTTTTTATTAAAAAACAAAATTACCAAAAACAAAACAACAAAATAAATATACCAAAATATGCCTTAAAAGCTATTAACGGTGGCCGAGAAGAACAAAAACATTCCGTTACCACAAATGTTCTACAATAACAAAGACAATGCTCTCTACTTACTCTAGCAGGATTCCACATTGTTTCGCCACACACACAGCAGGGATCATTACCCTCATACATCCTCGAAATCCCTTGGCATGGTATTTTGTTGTCTATCGATGATAAATTATTCCTTTCTTCCCGTTTAGTCTTTAAGTATTGATTCATATTTTATTTTTATTGGTTAAAAGAAGTTCTGTTTTTTATATAAGTTCTATAATTTGATTATTTATATTTTCTGTCATAGGGGAACAAATCTTGTCTTTTCTTTCGTTTGTAATTTTAAGCTTGATGCTTAAAAAACGATCATCAATTTATACGAAAGTCGCTTAATTCGACTCAAATACACACCAAACGAATTCCTCCTCCCATTTATGTATATATGTGAAACAAATAAGAATGTAGTATTTGTAAAATGTGAATAAAATTTATATATATTTTTTATAAATAAATATATACTACCTTTTTGTGGAAAATTAATGTACTGTTATTACAGAAGGTCCTCAATAGGGATAGGGATTTTCAAATCGATAAAATATTTTAACGACAAAGTAATCAATATTTCGATTAAATTTGGGATGAAGGATGAGCGGATTTCGGATTAATAGTAGCTTCACTCGAAGACTAGCGAACCATTGTGTTTCTTCAGAAAAATATAATTAGAATGAAATAGAAGACGGAAGGAGAGATAGAGGTAAATGAGGTTTGGAACTCAGCCATGACCATTTTTAAGCAAAACTGTAAATGTCGAGATAAGGGTCAGAGAAGATTTGTGATCAAATTTAGAGTAGCCTGACGAGTATTTCTTTATATTACAAAATATGGCTGAAATCACCAATTCTATTTCCTTTCTGGCAAGAATAAAGTACTATTAGACATTTTATATATTTTCCACGGCAACACGAGGCCAAGGGTTGGTCCAGAGTTCTTGGCTTTCGGAGCTACTTTATTCAAGATAGGTAGATAGGGCGTTGGTATTTTACGCTTCGTGGGGAACAGTATTAATTCAGACTTCCTGAAATTAAATCCAAGGCCTTTATGTGTGTGTACATAACGACATATATTGTCGGGATCCTCGTAAGACACGATTCGCTCCAAATTCTTCAACTTTCGCCTTCCGAATTGCATCAGCAATGATGGCATCTTTGCAACAGGTTAATGTTCCTCCGTCGATACCATCGTCTCCATTGTCATAGACTGTCAGAAGGTTTTGGTTTCCTTTGGAACAGCCTCCACTGAAGTTGCCGTAGATGCTGCGAGCACGTACCTGAGATAGAAATTCTGTATATTTTGGCATATTTAACAAGTCTATGCAGCCATGGGCGGATAGTCCCATTCGTACATCCTCACAACATTTAAGTGTTTTCTTATCCGATGGAGTTTGGGCTCTGGTCGGTATATCTTTGCCAGTATCGAATTGCCCTTCAATGTGCATTTCTGTTTCTTTGAAAGGAGTCGACAGCGAGTAACTTTCAAGCACCCATTGTGACTCCTTTCAGTCGGAAATATTCATATTCAATCAAGCTGAGGAGTGACTCACTCTGTCAATGTTAGATTGTCGTGTAATAATCAATACAGTTCGACCCTTGGATTTATAAAACGAATTTGGCTCCAATAGATAAATCAGTAACCCTACGTTTCTAGGCTCCTATCCTGAAGAATGGCACCCTAACTTTGGTTACAAAATCTCGGTCTACCAGTGTTCTATAGTCTGCAGTGTTTTTGAAGATGGTCATGTTGGGCGCCACAACAAGAATTAGGCATATTTAACAAATCCTTGTCATGGTAAGGATGTAAGGACTCTTGCGATGTTTTAAAGGAAGATGTCCAAAGCAGCCACACCAACATCAGCCGAATAAGTTTTTGGGTTTAATTTAAAGTTACAGAATCCATATGCCACTGATTAAAAAGAAGAAGGACATGATGTCGACCATGGTATGGACTTGGAAAAATAGAACAAGGTATAATTGTGGCGCACAACATAACCCTGTTCATAATACACCAAAATCAGAGAGTCGTCGTTCAGGGTCGGCGCCTAGGTACCTATGGTTAGTGATTAATACAAGGGAGACAAATTCGCCTCATAATTCCAAGGGTCATGATGTAGACCATGGCATGACATCCTTACCATGGCGCCCAACATAACCTTAGTCAAATACCTTGCCAACTATACAACACTGGTGAATCGTGGTTTTATAACCCACAAAATTAGAGTAATTTATCAGGGTAGGATTACTGAATTATTTAAGGGAGCCAAATTCGTCTCATAAATTAAGGGTCAATCTGTATTTATTAAATGAATCGCATGTGTAGACGATGGCATAACATCCTTGCCCCATGAAAAAACAAAAACCGAATTCAAGTCATGGCGCCCAACATGACCCCGTTCACATACACTGCAACCCATAGAACACGTTTAGACCCATATTTTATAACACCCCAAAATTAGGGAGCAATCTTTCAGGGTAGGAGATTGGAATCCAAATTCGTCTCATAAATTAAAGGTTCATTCTGTATTGGACGGAAGCATTGATTATATGAACTATCAAAATTTGAATTAGTGGCAACACTAAAATCTTTTTAGAGCATACTTTCAGGCGCTTAAATATCTGATGAACTACATTATGATGTTCATAATTAATATTATGTTCATCATTCAAATCCGATATGGAAAGTAAGAAATCCAAAAAAGAAGGTAAACATATTGAAAAGTGGATGGATGGGCCCCAAAAACCAATAGTTTCATATAACGATACCGCCCCATTTTCGGTATTTTAAAGGCCCGGGGTTTTGAAACATACATACACACATCTATTGAGAAAATTATCAATATAGATCCAAGTTTTAACATACTTACTTACTTAGCTGGCTTGTGACAGAACTTTCATCCCATAAGACGATTTTAAAAAAGATTACCAGGCGCGTCGGTTTTTTGCGCCGTTTTTCCAATTTGAAAGACATTGTCGAACATGGGTTTTCACTTGATCATTCCATCTAATTCGTAGCCTTCCGTTTCTGCGTGAACCATCAGCTAGTTCGCTTTTATATACTTTTCTCAAAAACATGACCTAGCCCACGTAGTCGCTGCAGCTCGATACGACTGACAATGTCGATGTCCGAGAATAGCTGGTAAAATTCATGGTTCATTTGACGGCGATATTCACCATCAACTCAGATCCGTCCATAGATCTTTCGGAGAATTTTTCTCTCAAACACTCCAAGAGCTGCATCATCTGCTTGCGCAAGTGCTTCAGATCCATATAACGGCACGGGTAGTATTAGCGTCTTGTAGAGTGTGAGTTTGGTCTTGCGGGAGGTGGCCTTATTTTTAAACTGCTTACTTGAACATAGTAGCATCTGTTGGCCAACACTATCATTCTCCGAATTTCCAAACTGATGTCACTAGTTTTATTTATGGCGGTAGTAAGGTATATAAAATCTTTGACTACCTCGAAGCAGTAGTTCTCAAGTTCCACAGTTGGTCCGAGTCTACTGGACGTCTTGCGCGTTGATATCATCAGTTTGGTCTTCTCGCCGTTTTCTGCCAGATCCTTCTCAAGTTCCAAGTTTTAACAGAGTCCCAATATATTTGATGCAGTCATTTTCGGCGTTCTGAAGGTTTTGGCCGTATTTTCCCCACCAATTCCCAGCTGTAAATTAGCTGAACATGTTCTATATATGTTCCTGTTTTGACACATCTCACATTTAAAGATCCCGCCCAATTTTCGGTATTTTGAAGGTTTCAGTCCCATTTTCTTAAAGATAATTTCTGATATCTGCAAACCAATGGATCACGCCTCGTTTCGGAATATTGGAGGTTTTTGCAGCATGTCCCCTCCAATGTGGCTGTTATGCGGAACTTCGGGTTATCAGATATACTGTCAGATTTACAATGATATGTAAAGGATCCAATATTTTACATTTGAGACATTTTATTCATAAAAGTGCTCAGGTGTAACCACATATTGTTGTTGGTTTTCCAAAAACGCTTTTTGGAAATATAAAGATGTTTTTGGACGGGTTCACAGGCTGCGAATAATGTCCCAGCAAAATGCATCGGGTAGCTGGGCATTAAATATACAGAAGCTTCTAAAATCGTAGAGGCTTTAATGGCGCCCAAATAACAAAGGTCTAAAAGTCACTTCACAACTACAACTTGTTAGGTTAGGTCCAACGTGAGAAGGACATACACATAAGCCATATGAGGCCTGTTGTGCGCTCTAGAAGTGCGGAGAAAGTTCAAATCAAGAATTAGTGAAAGTGTATATTATAAAGAAAAACATTTGGGTTTGATTCCCTATGAATCTAGGAATTCCGTGTTTCTGCGAACTCCTTCAATCTATTCCATTCACACCCCCTCAGATCGCTTAGTCCGTGAAGAGTGTCATTTCCCAAGAATTGTCTCCGAAGGCATGTAAATGCTGGCCAATGGCACAGGAAATGTTCCAGCGTTTCACTGTCTTCCCCATACGCTCTGCACTCGATACTTCCTTTGCATCCAATCTTGAGTAGATGTACTTCAGGCCGAGGTGTCCCGTCAGAATACCCGTAAGTCGGGTATTTCGGTACCCGGTTCTTCGATAAAAAGTCTCAATCTAGTTTTTCCTCCTAATCGGGAGCCATCTGTGTAGCAACAGTTACCAGGCGGCATCTGAACTAGTGTTCCGCTATTCCATTGTTCTCTATCTGGTATTATAGTTTCGCACCGTGTCACTACTCTCGTTTCAGGTATACGGTCTGAATCAAAGTTGTTGAATGTCGACTCAGTAGTTGCCTTTAAAATGTTTTTGTGCGGTGCGGACAATAGACGCGTATGTTAAAATTGGTCTAATAACACTTCGATAGATCCCGTGTATCATCTTTGGATTGAAACCCCATATAGAGCCTACGGCTCTTCACAGAATCACCAGCATCTTTGGGCCTTGTCAGCCCTTTGCTGTATGTGGTCTTTCCATTTAAGTTTCTTGTCTAAAATTTGATATGGCTATCTTCTTGTTTTGGAAGATGGGCTCTTCGTACTAACCTATTTTTGTCTTTCTAGTAAAAAGACATATCTCCGTTTTGTCCGGATTTACGTTTAAGCCCCTCAGTTTTGCCCAATCGTATGCGATTTTTAGCACCGTTTCGGCTTTCCTGCATAGTAAGTTTGGATTCTTTCCGCTAAGAAGTATTATAACGTCATCTGCATAACAGACTGGTTCAAATCCTTCGTCGGTTAAGTTCCTTAAGAGTCCGTTTATGGTAGTTACCCACAGGAGCGGTGACAAAATCCCTCCCTGTGGTGTTCCCTGACCTACTTTGTCTCTGATTGTTATATCATGTATGCTACAGCTTATCCATCTATTCCTTAGCATATAGTTAACCCAGTCTATGATTGTCCGGTCCACTTGGAAGGTATCTAAGGATTGGATAAGCGTATTAGTGCTGACATTGCTGAAGGCTCCTTGAATGTCAATGCATACCGTTAAGGTATACATCTTCCCAGCGAAGGTGCCCTTAATATAGTGTACTACCTCATGTAAAGCGGTTTCCACTTTACATACACATGTTGTTTGTATTTCAGCGTATCAAACTGTTCTTTATCATGGTGTCGACTTGTTAAATAATGTCAATTTTCCCACTAATAAATCAGAGTTGGTCGCCTACTAAGGGATTAAGACATGAATGTTATTGGACAGGTTGCGGATAACATAAAGCTAAGTAAAATGCATTTGAGACAGGAGGAAACGATCAAATGTCTATGATCCCAAAATTGTCGAAGCATAAATGGCGCCCAAATAATCAATTCTATATAACCATTTCTATAATATTGTTTTAAATTAAAAACAACACACAATTTATTTCATATTTAAGCTATTGGCTTCCAGTTATCAAACTCATCGTTTCCTACCTAACAATCTGAGAATATGTGGAGACTTAATTCTTTTTGCAACGTGCTTTTTCTTCATACAGATTTCCCAATTTACTTAGTTAGTCGAAGTCATGTTAAAAGGAAATTAATGTTGTAATTGTAATGGCAGTAATTAAAATCGATTTCATTAAGCAAAAACATAAGAAAATATCTTAACCTAAAACATTACCCAACAAATTAAAAACCCAAAAATGACTTCACCAAAATGACCGGATGCAGTTTAAAAGTAATTCGCCAGACTTGACAAAGAATGGCCAAAAGAGGTGCAAATCACTGAGCAGCAACCAAATGGCTAAGCTTTACTCCTATGACAACCATAACGCGACTGCTGCTGCTACTACTGCCGCGGACCAGAACAAATGATCGTCAAACTCAACGCCAGAACTGCGCAATCAACTTCATTCAGAAACTAGGAAGAAAAACAACAACAAAAATAAATTTTATCTCGACGATATGAATTTCGTTTAATGTTGTTGCTTTTATTTTTTTGCGAAAATTATGATCCGAGTTGAAAATAAAAAATAACATGGAAACTTGATTTGCTTGGAAAAACTGTTATCTCATGATGACTGGATGGATTGACTGTTAAACTGACTGACTACCAGCTAACTGATGAACTGATTGAATTTAGTGACTCTCGTCGCTAAGATATAAATCGTATGACTTTATGAATTATTCCTCGGTGATATCAGAGCATCGCTCGTAGCAAATAAGGCCAAAAAGGGCAAATAAATTCAGATTAGAAAAATAAAAACATCTGTATGGAAAAAACAATAATAACAAGATTTGTAATTGAGTAATAATTTGGATATGGAATGGCATATGGAAATATTCGTGTATGTTTATATGTACATGCCATTCATTGTACATATGTAAACTGGTGAAGGGAATTTTATGTCTTTTGTCGGATGGAATGGAATTTATTTGAAATGTATTCTAATGAAAAACAAAAAAAAAACGGCAGTGAGCAAAGGCTATTGCCGAACGGGCCCCACCATGTACATAACTATCTGCTGATTTGAACCGTTTGCGAGCAAAAATTGAATCGCAGTAAGTAGGGGTCATTTCACACCCTATACAACTCCCATTGCCAGTCTCAATAACACATACAATGTCTGTCTTGCCATTTTTTACAGGCATAGCTCGAAAGGTTAAATTTTTATTTATTATTTCAAAAAATTTCACTTAAAAAAATTAATAAAAAACAAGTGAAACCAGTAAGAAAGGACAAAGCCGGTCAGGATTTATTATATCACACACCACTTTGGGTGCTTATTATACCCTACACACTATACACTAAGGCTCCTAGAGTTTGTATCTCCCCCATATTTTAGCATACCGATAGTCATATCTCAACTAGCCGAGCCGATATAGACATGTTTGTCCGTCCGTCCGTCTGTCCATTATAATTTGTAAACCCGATACAGGCCACAGTTATGGGCCAATTTTGCATACAGGACGTGTTCTGGTCCTATAGTTTTTGGTAATGATCTGTTAATATTT